GTACCCTTATCAGAATGCTATGGTAAAAACACAGCCTTGGGGCTGGAGAGATGGCTTAGCCATTAAGAACAGTGGCTGTTCTTCCAGAGGTCCTGAGTTCAATTCCCAGCTCACAACATTTATAATGATCTGGCGCCCTCTTCTGGCCTGCAGGCATATAGACATACAGAACACTGTAGTATAAACAAATCTTTAAAAAAGAAAATCACAGCCTTAGTGATTTCATTCACAAGATTTCCTGTGACAGTAATTGCTGCTTTTAGTACAGGATTTCAGTACCAGTGGTAAAAGTGTGAATGTACTTTGGTTTGTTTAAGACAGGGTCTCACTGTGTACCCCTGGCTGACCTGGAACTCTATGTAGGCCAGGGTAGTCTTGAACTCCAGGAATTAAGGGTGTGCCTCACCAGTCCAAGCATGAATGATTCTTCTTTAACCAAAGTTCTTAGTGAAGCGCTTAGCACTAATAACATTTGCCACCTTCAACTTTGTTTTCACAGATGTTATGCATCTGATGAAAAGCCTCTAACCCGTGCTTTCTGTCTGAACCCACCACCACACAAAGTGGTACTCAAATTATTCTTCTCCTGCTTAACCTTCATGAAAATCTAATGATGATGAATTCTATCCTATTTCTTTTGAGACCATTAACTCAAAAGTTTTATTACTCTGAAATCCTTTATGGGTTTTATATAAATTTTCTGCTACTGAAGAGCATGATCTGGGGAAGACATTCTGAATAGGATTTTTATTTTTGTTTATTTTAGTTTTTTCAAGGCAGGGTTACTCTGTGCAACAGCTCTGACTGTCCTGGAACTCAGTTTGTAGACCAGGCTGGCCTCGATTCTGCCTGCTTATGCCTCCCAAGTGCTGGGGTTAAAGGTGTGCGCCACCCCAGCCTGGCTAGGATTTTTATTATAAATTTTTGTTCTTTGACAATTTCTTAGGCATATATAATTCCTTCTGCTTACTCTCCCTACCCTTGATTTCCCTCCTACCCTGGTCAATACCCTTATTCCTTACAAAATCTCTCTTGCATTTACTTGTTTTTGTTTACTTTAGTGTTTCACAGTTTAAGACATATATCTGGGGCTGGAGAGAAGGCTCAGGGGTTAAGAGCACTGGCTGCTCTTTTAGAAGGCCTGAGTTCGATTCCCAACAACCACAGCGCAGCTCACAAACATCTATAATGATGATCTGGTGCCCTCTTCTGGCATGTAGGTATATATGCAGAGCACTCGTATCTAAAATATAAATAAATAAATAAATAAATAAATAAATAAAGCAAGCAAACTTAACCAAAGAAATTTAAAGGAAAAAATAATGATGATCTGGTGCCCTCTTCTGACCTGTAGGTATAAATGCAGAGCACTCGTATCTAAAATATAAATAAATAAAGCAAACTTAACCAAAGAAATTTAAAGGAAAAAATAATGATGATCTGGTGCCCTCTTCTGGCCTGTAGGTATAAATGCAGAGCACTTGTATCTAAAATACAAATAAATAAATAAAACAAACTTAACCAAAGAAAAAATTTAAAGGGAAAAAAAAAAAGACATGTGACCTTGAGTTTGGAGCAATCCGAGCCTGGTGGGATCATCTATATTTGGGTATCTCACCCCCCAATCCGTTAGTTGCCAATAGTAAGTGATAGGGCCTCATGGACTCCTTTTCCAAAGATGTTAAGGTTTAACATAACAGACTGTCTTAATTAGGGTTTTTTCCTTTTTAATTAAAAAATTTAATTTTCATTTTACATACCAACCCCAGTTCCCTCTCCCTCCTCTTCTCCCACCGCCCCTTCTCCCCTCCTTTCCATCCCCTATCTACTCCTCAGAGGGTCTAAGGCCTTCCTTTGGGGAGTCAACAAGGTCTGGCATACCAACTTGAGGCAGGACCAAGCCCCTCCCCACTCATGAAAGCTGAGCAAGGTATCCCACCATAGGGAATGGGCTCCAAAAAGTCAGTCCATGCACCTGGGATAGGTCCTGGTACCACAATTTTTCGCCTTTTATTAATTAGGGTTTCTATTGCTCTGACGAAACACCAAGACCAAAAAGCAAGTTGGGGAGGAAAGGGTTCATTTGGCTTATACTTCAACCTTGCTGTTCATTATTGAAGGAAGTAGGACAGGAACTCAGACACAACAGAAACCTGGAGGCAGGAGCTGATGCAGAGGCCATGGAGGGGTGTTACTTACTGGCCTGCTTCCCAGGACTTGATCAGCCTGGTTTCTTATAGAACCCAGGACCACCAACCTAGGGATGGCACCACCCACCATGAGCTGGGCCCTCTCTCATTGATCACTAATTGAGAAAATGCCTTTATAGCTGAATCTCATTGAGATATTTCCTCAACTGAGGCTCCTTCCTTTCTGATGATTCTAGCTTATGTCAAGTTAGCACACAAAACCAGCCAGTACAACCGACCCCTTATAATACACCACTAATTAAGCTATAACTCTTCCTTTTTTCTTCCCCCACAAGATCTCACATTTCAGTCTCTTAAAACATCCAATCTCAGGCTGGAGAGATGGCTCAGTGCTCTTTCAGAGGTCCTGAGTTCAATTCCCACACGTGGCCTACAACCACCTGTAATGGGATCTGGCGCCCTCTTCTGGCCGGCAGGTGTACATGCAGGCAGAACACTATACACTTAAAATTCTTAAAAAAAAAATCCAATCTTTTAGTAATGAGATCTGGCGCCCTCTTCTGGCCGACAGGTGTACATGCAGGCAAAACACTGTACACTTAATAAATAAAATTCTTTTTTAAAAAATCCAATCTCTTTTAAAAGTATAAGTCTTTTCAACTGCGGGTTCCTTTAAGAAACTCAAAATTAAATACCTTCTTCAAGAGGGAAGAACCAGGGCACCATCACAATCTGAACCAAGCAAAATCAAACTACAACAGTAGAAATAACTCAATGTCTAGTTATCCGGGATTCACTCATAACCTCCTAGACTCCTGCAAAGGGCTATGGTCACTTCTTCAGTTCCACCCTCTCCAGCACACGCAGCTTGACTTCTAGGCTCTGGCTGGCTCCATTCCACTGCTGTTGCTTTTCTGGGTGGTCATCCCACAGTACTGGTATCTCCAATGCTGGGATCGTCTGCTGCAAGTGGGCTACACTTTGACCAATAGCTTCCCACAGGCTCTCCTCGTGGCACCAACCCTCAACTTTTTTGCATGACCCCTTCCGTCTTGCACCTTCACCAATAGCCTTTCCCGGCCTCTCACAGTGCCAAGCCTCAGCTGCTCTCTATGACCCCTTCATGCCTTCAAAACCAGTACCACCTGGGTGACTCTTACACATTACCAAGTCCAGCTGCCAGCATGAGGTACAAGCTTGGCCGCCTCTAGAACAGTTTCCCTGTGCTCCCAGGAAACACTTCCAAGATTTCACCTCAGTGATGCTGGTCCCTTCTTAATCACCACTAATTTCTTAGCTCCAGCTGACCAGAACGTCAAGCTTCAGATTAGTAGTTCTGGTGGTTAATCACAGCTAGGACTCTTCAGCCCCAGCTAACCAGAACCACGGGATCTTAATTCAAAATAGCCAGCGGCCCTGACAGCGGCTTTAATATTGTCTCTGAAACGTCACAAGCCAGGCCTCCATCTTCTGCGCTGCTCTCAGCGTCGTTCGCATCCAAGCTCCTATAGAGAGCAGCCTAGTGAGCGCTCAGTACTCAGTGGCTCTTCTAGCCCAACGTCCTTCCACAGTCCTCCCGGAAACATGGTCAGGCCTGGCCCAGCACTAGCCCACTGCACTGGCACCACAAACTCCTGCACCCCCAGACCTCCTCAGCTAGGCTCTTTTGCAGTACCTGTCTGCCTCGTCCTCCCCCTCAGATCCGAGACAAGGTTTGTGTTTCATTTGGCTCCTAATAGTAGGAACCAGGCGAACAGGTTGCCTCTGGCCCATTGGATGGAAATGAAAGCTCCATTTTCTTGGAGTACTTCTACAGGTTAGCTATGGCTAGGGAGAGTCATGTCTTAACTCTAAAATTACTTAATAGTACAAACTTTTCTGAGGATTTACCTCCTCTTGTATGAGGCAACTTCATTTAGAATTCGAGAAACATCAGAGGCCTTTCCTCTACTCAGCACCCCCAGCAGCAGGCCTTTGCATGTCTACAATTTACCGATATTCTCTCTTCCTCTCGCCCACTCATTAGCCTCAATAGTGGTGTGCTTCTCTCAATTTTACTGGATTTGTGTTTTTAGTATTCTTCTCTCAAACAACTTAAACTATAAGAAATGGGACCTCAAATCACCCACCAAACAGGGTGATTAAAGTACTCAAGTTTTTTGGGGGGGAAAAAAAACTGGCTAGGCCTGGTGGTGCAGGCCTGGGGTGTTGGCAGGTGGATCTCTATGGATTTGAGGCCAGCATGGTTTACATGAATTCCAGGCCAGTCAGGTATCCAGGGCTACACAGTGAGACCCATTGTGTAGGGGACTAAAACCAAGGCCATTAAGTTAAAAACTGACATGGAAAACAGGCTTGGTGTGGTAAACCTGTAATCCTAGGAAGATTATTCTGGCTACTTTGGACTTGGAGGCTAGCTAGACATGGCTACGTAAAAACATCTTTTTTAAAAAAATGGGGGGGGGTGGTAGTGGTGAAAAAGGTGGTTCAGCAAGTAAGAGCACTAATTGCTCTTTTAGAGGAACCAGGTTATAGTCCTACTACTCACAAGGTGGCAACTCTAAGTCCAATTCCTTGGGATACAGCACCCTCTTGTGGCCTCCAAGGGCATAACACCCACACTGGATGTCTAGACATGTAAAGCTTTCATATACATAAAATACAACTGTCTAAATTTAAAGGGAAGAAATTGTCATATACAAACACAATGTTTTCAAAACAAAACATTTTATTTGACAAAAAGCTCCCCTCACCCGCCCGCCCGCCCGCCCACCCTGACTCATTGTGACATATATATGACTTTAGATTGCCTTATGGTGGTCATGCATACTAAGCATCATTTTTCTAGTCTTTAAAACACCCAAGAGTCAAAAAAAGAAGCTCTGCATTCCACAAGTCCAAGTGTCTTCCATGTGCTTTGGTATAGAGTTCGTTCACAGTTGGTTGGGGAGATGATGCCACTGTCTTTAGATTTGTTTACAGAGTTCATTTATGCGACCAAAGCAGATGATGATCAAATGCTCTTACAGTTGCTTAATCGGTAGTCATACTGATGGCAGAAACTGTGGAAGGAAGGCTTTTAGTTATTCTTTCCTGTGCACTTTCCAGAATTGTAGCCCCCATTCCTACCCATACAAAGGGATGTTACTGGGTGCAGCCAATCCCACAAGGTAAAAACTGACCTCAGAAGCACTTCAGCTGTGTCTGTTGGCCCAATTTAGTTTTAAAGAAAATTTAAAGAAAAAAAAAGTTGAACTCCCAGACCTCTTCAACCAGGCTCCGCCTACTCTTTCCTTTTTCTGTTTTCTTCTCCATTTGTGGATGTCAACATTGGCTTGCCAAGCAAAGTACAGTTTAGATACTTTAAGAGTATGTAGGGGTTATAATGAATAAGCCCCCTTTATCATTGTGACTTCAGTTTCAAGGCAACTTGGATATAGAGGTCACATTGATTAAATTAATGTATCTCATTCCTATCTAACTCAAGGCTTAGCTGATAGCCATTTAGATGAAAATATATTTTTGGAAACATTTAGCAAATTGGTATCTCTTTTCAATACTTTTTAGTTATTGGAACTGCATTCAAGTAAAGAAAAAGCAGAGCAGCGGACATAGGCTTGACCTTTTCCTTCACTCTGCCTCCTGTCCCACCCTCTGTGAGTGAAAAAGAAATAGAAAAGGTCAAAGCACAGTCAACCCTCCTTAAGGAAGGCATTTTTTCTCAAGTTCTTTTGATAGTCTTTCCTCCAATTCTCTGATTGTTTTCAATTCTCTTATTCTCAGATTTTATGCAAGCACGTTAAAATTTTAGGTTATTTTCATCCATTGGCATCATTTACCATAGCAAGCACCTTGAGTAGTTTTTTTTTTCTGCAAGGAGAACATTTTTTAAATTACTATATGTCTATGAAAGACATATTAAGGCAATTCTATGCCTTGGCATGTTTAAAAGAGAAAGGCTGAAGACAGACCAAATTTGCAAATGTATTTCAAAGCCTGCTGCAGCTCAAGAATGGGTTGCTTCCCCCAGGGATGATACTAAGGAGACAAAAGTTGGGGAGCTAGGTGACTGTCATCCCTCCTGACCAGTAGTGGTCACAGTCATAGATTAAGTAAGCCATGAGCTAGAATATTGTAGCGTTTCTCTGAGCAGAAGGGTTGCAACTTTAGGAGCAGGCTTACTACAAAACCCAGCTTCCTGTTCATGTAGTGGCCAGAGAAATGAAGGTGGGGACTTCAACTGCATGTTACTTGGGGACTGAGTCATGCCACACTACCTAAGAAGCAGGCCCCACAGTTCAGCAGTTCCGGGGAAGGTGTGCCTACTGGTTTCTTTCTTTCACGTCTCAAGAGCCAAACAAGAAGGCCTAAGAATTATATGCAAATGTTTGAATGAATGAAGAAAATGAATGAATAGTAACATTCCTCCTATGGTCTAACCTGAGTCAATTAAAAAGCCAGTGCCTTTCAGTCTAGAGAATGTTTGAGCTAATATTTCTCTTTAATAAAGAGCATCACTCTGCTTTTCACGGCATCCGTAAGTCACACTAAGGGCCTTTTGGAGCAGATGTGTTTCATTTAGCATCCAGTAGCATCTTTTGCACTGTGTGTAATTCAAGCAATCGAGAACCGCTTTTATTCCCATTCTACCAAGCATGCCCATGAGAAGGTGATCTATTTACTTAACTCTCCTTCTCACCAGCTTGAGCTTTTTCAGCTAAAGTGGGAGCTGCACACCTATGTTACCGCTGTCCCATCACAAGCTGCTGAGATAAAGTACACTTTGGCTTATGTCCTTTAAATAGTTTCATTCTTTCCAGTCCTGGGAACGGCACTTTATTTTCAGACTTAAGTTTTTATTAAATATGATGAGTGTGAAAGCATTCTCTTATTGCTCACACGTCGCCTTGACTCAGAGTCAGGCAAAGAGCAAATAAATGCCTTTGAGATCACTGATTCATCTTGATTCTCCTTTGAAACATTTCAACTGTATGAAAAGGAGAATACGTAACTAATGAGCTACGGTCAGATTTTTAAGTCCCCTTTAAAGTAGGCCAGTGAGCAAATGACCTTTGGAGGGACGTCTTAGGGATGTCCTCAGCTAGGGACATCTCCATTTAATGTTGAATGAATCTTGACCTGCGTTTGATTTTCAAATCTCTAGGTCAAGTCAGTGGGTCTTCTAGACCCTACTTATTTAACTAATCCATCAAGCATAGTGACTGCAAGCAAACAGCCACTAAAATAGTATTTACTATAGATACATTGCACAGGCTGGGCATGAATACACACATCTGTAACCTCAGCACTTCAGAAGCTGTGACTGGAGATTCACCAACTAGAGCCAGCCTGAGCCACGAGACCATGCCTTGGTGTCTCCTCGTCAGTGGTGATTGGTACTGCCCTTTACGCTAGGTCCACCTCACATTTTAGCTTTAGGACCTAGATTGACATATTCCATATAAACCATGTTTTATTAGACATTACAGAGTTGAATATGAAATGTCCTCCATAAGGACATTTCATGCTCTGAGTGCTTGGCCCTCAGCTAGTGCTTCTATTTTGTGAGGTTCTGGACCACACCAAGTATGTAGTAGCATCTGACACTCTGGCCCCTTCCTGTCCTTCTATTCCCTGATATCCATACTGTGGAACTGCCTGACACTGGACAGGACAGTCCACTTAGGTCAGTATTTATTTAGCACAGCACCTTATACAAATCCATTTTTTTCTGTTTTCATTTCATCGTTGAAGTCAAGAGCAGTTCTGGCCTAGCTCTCAGACATGCTGGGAGTGCTTCACGAGAGGAAGCAATCTTTGTTTGCACAACACATAGCACAGTAAGATGCATATATTAGGTGACAAGCATTCTGAGGAAGCTTTAGCCATGATGAACTCCAGACAGCGTCACTATCCACATACAAAGCCAACAGTTAGGTCCTAGCTTTATAGAACTGCAGACTTCATAAAGCTCCACACAGATCTCTGTTGTGGGCAATAATAATGGTAATGAATTTTTTTTCTATTCCCAGTGTCTGGAGATAAAAGCAAATAATTATTGACTACTGGGCATGTATGGCAACTTACAAGTTATAAATTAATCTTGCACATAATTTCTTTAGTTAGAGAGGACACTAAGAATGCTTTGTCTTTGCATCTCAATGCCTAGCAAGGGCATTGTTTTGTGATAAATGATTGCCATTCAATCTTGCATTCATCAAATGATTACAGTCTCATATATTCAATGTTCAACAGTTATTTCTTTGCTTTATTTGCACAGTCAAACGTGACAGAATTCTAAAATCGGGAAATTGGTACCAAATTGTTACATTTATATGGTACTCCAAAGTTCATAAAATGCCAACATACACATTACTGTCAGCTTTGGGCACAATGAAATAAATTTAAGTCTGTATCTCTCTAGTGCCCATAAAAGAGAATATACCAGGGACAAGGGAGATAGATGGCTCAGAGGTTAAGAGCAGTGGCTGCTCTTCCAGAGGTCCTGAGTTCACTTCCCAGCAACCACATGGTGGCTCACAACCATCTACAAAGAGATCTGGCGCCCTCTTCTGGCCTGCAGGCAGAACACCGTATACATAGTAAATCACTTAAAAAAAGAATATAATCATAAATAGGCAATCAATATTGGTATATTCATTCAGCAGGCATTTAACATCTTGGTTTACCAAGATTTACCTCACTGTGTTCCAAGGCTAGCCTCAAGTGTCTGGGCTCAAATGGTCCTGCTGTTTCAGCTACCTGAACTCAAGAGCATATGCTACCATACCCAGCTGGTTAACTATTTTTACCATTCTTCTCATTGTAAGCCAAGAAGACAATGAGACTCTTGTAGAGCCCATGCCTATTATATAGGCAGTTTTATTCCTATAGGAAATGTGGAATGTCCTACGTTTCTGTAGTGCTTTATAGGGCAAATGTCCCTGTACTGGCTGGCCCTCATCACTAAAGTCTTGACTGATTAAATTTGCTGTTATCCTGTAAATAAGCGGTATAGAATGTAAACATTCTATTTCGTGGCAGAGTTACGAGGCAATTTATCTTGTATTCTATGTACCTAACACAATGCCGGACACACAGGAGTTAGTTAGTATTCATTCATCTGTGCACACGGAGCCACTGATAGCTATGCAGTGCTTTAGTTCACCAAGCGCTTTACTGCGCTTTCTTAACCTTTAGTTTTGTTATCCCTGGTGCTGAGCATGGCATTTTGCAAATTATCAGGTGATCCCAATAGGGTACTTATACTTGGGATATATTTTGTGGTTTAAAGGCAGTTTCCATGTGTTTTCTTTTCTGCTACCTGGCACAATGTATTTTACTGAAAATCACCAATGCAATAGGAACACATTGGCCTGAAGTGTAGATTAGCCTTCATTCAAGCCATATTTATATAATTTTTTTCCATTAAGCATATTTTGACTTGTTATGCCTATAGCAATCTTCGTATCCATAGAATGCACGCACTAGGTAATACTCATGCATTCGGCACAGTTTTAGTGTGCTTTGTGGTTTATAAAGCATATTTCTATGTCTTCATGTTACCTGGAAGTGACCACAGTTAAGCATCACATCCTTAGTACTCAGTACAAAGATAGGCACAATGTTATTCAGACATAGTCCCTGGTATTTAGATCAGGGCAATGGGCCAGTGAGGGATTTTTACCTTCTAAAAAGGTTTTTTTTTTTTTCTTTTTAAAAGAATGAGCAACTAAGGCCAATGGCCCACAAAGCCTCAGGTATTTACAGTCTGACTCTTTCAAATGTTAACTATGTGTGGTTGTCAATGATCGTGTCGCTTTTTTCTCCTGTGTTGTATCAGTCATTAGAGCCAAGTTCCTTCTTGGGGGGGGGGAGAACCAGAAGCATGAAGCCTGTTAAATAGTCCTAAATTCTTTCATCATTAATCCTAAAGGTGGGTGTTAAACCCAGGAGTAGATTTAGTGGAATACACCAAATTCCTTGGCCACTACAATGAATAGGGAGTTAGTTCAGACCTCAGTCTGTCCCAAATCTAATCACTGTTATCATTATTAGAAATTCTGTACCCTGCTCACCTACGCCCAAAGAAGGAAGCTGATGTTGGCTGGTGCTCCTCAGGTTGGCACATTTGCATATTGCTCGTCTAATTCTTCTCATTGGTCTGGAGCACATCTTCATATTTTCTCTAGATAGCCTGGTAATTGTTTTCCCCTAACCGTCTGATGCTTTCCTGTCTCACAGCCTAAGGCTGCAGAGTTAGGGTAGATTGAAGTACAGCATCAGTACGGCTGCTTGCTCCTAGGGGAATATCAAAAGTCACACTAGATAACACTGGCTGGATTTTGTTCTCTCTCGCAAGTGGAGCAGATATGAAGAGAAATGGGAAGTTTTAAAATGTCAAAACTTTAACAAATGGCTAAAATCAGATTTAAAACAGACTAAAGATCGACCCCTGCACAATGCTGTCAATCTAAAAGCTTGTTCCTTTATGGTAAATGACAATTGAAAAGTACATCAAGCTTTGAAACTGCCAGAAATGGAACTCTGAGAAGGGAGTACTGAACCGTCGGGGGGGGGGGGTAGTATAAAGGTTAGGGGGGTCTCATCTTCAGATTTCCCTTAGTTTTGGGGTTCTAACCCCCCCACAGAGTTTTAGGCCACAGGCCTCCAAGTTCTAGTCCATATAGGCTTGAGTCCTTAGGTCTTAGGCTTAGACTTAGCTCAGATGCAGGTCTCAGTTCTTCGACTTCACATGGGTCCTGTAGAAACAGTCCTTCTATGGGTTGTCAGCATTCTGTCCATCCAACTTGAGACTCAAACTTTCCAGCCAGCTCAGATAGGCCTTCTGTGTATCTTGGTCCTTAAGGCTGTCTTCCACTTTGGATCTTTCTTTACACGTGTTCCTTTCGGGTCTACTTCGGTCCTGACCAGAGTGCTGGATCTTGTCTTCGCTTATTTCTCAGGGCACGAGGAACAGCTCCACTGGTGATATTCTGCACCTTTTGGGAAGGGGCTAGGAAGACCCTCTGTCGCACATGACACACACACACAAAGAAATAGCCAAGAGAGACTTAGAGGAAGAGGGAGACACAAACTTGTAAAGAGACTGAAATTCTCAAAGTGAGTAGTAAGTGGGGAAAGTGGAAGGGAAAGAAAGAAAAACACACACAATAAGAGTAATGCTGAGATCAGAAATTGCAAATAGCAAAGAGACACAGCTACGAAGAAGGAAAAAGGAGAAAACAGCCCAAGAAAAGTAGAAAGGAGATGTAGTAAGGAGACTCATGTGCTAAGGATACAAGCAGCAGAGAAGGAAATATGAAATGTGGAGTCAAAGGACTGACAAGCAGATCACACAGAAAAAAGCAAGTGAGGTGAGCACAAGGAAAGGAGAGGATTGCATGCAACATGTGACCCAAAGGAGAGTCGTTAAAGAAGAGTTAAGAGAAACAGCAACCAGATAGAAAAAACAGAGCCACATCTAAGCAAGACAAGGCACAAATCACACAGAGAGGAGAGGAGAAAATAAGACAAAGCTCAAAGCTCTACTAGGAAGAAATTAGCAGAGAAACACGGCAATAGGTACTGTACACAGAGGAGTAAAAGACACTTGACATAGACATCAAAGCGAGGAAGAAAGACATACAAAGCAAGGGAGGAAAAACATACAAGGCAAGAAAGAAAGACATACAAAGCAAGGGAGAAAGACATACAAGACAAAGACATGCAAGGTGAGGAAGAAAGACATACACTACGAGGAAGAAAGACGTACAAGGCAAGAAAGAAAGAAAGAAAGAAAGAAAGAAAGAAAGAAAGAAAGAAAGAAAGAAAAAGAAAGAAAGACATACAAGGCGAGAAAGGAAGAAAGACATACAAGGTGAGGAAGACATACAAGGCAAGAAAGAAAGAAAGAGACATACAAGGCGAGGAAGACATACAAGGCGAGGAAGACATACAAGGCAAGAAAGAAAGAAAGAAAGAAAGAAAGAAAGAAAGAAAGAAAGAAAGAAAGAAAGAAAGAAAGAAAGAAAGAAAGACAAGGCGAGGAAGACATACAAAGCAAGGGAGAAAGACATACAAGACAAAGACATGCAAGGTGAGGAAGAAAAACATACAAGGCGAGGAAGAAAGACAACAAAGCAAGGAAGAAAGACATACAAGGCAAGAAATAAAGACACACAAGGGAGAAAGACATACAAGGTAAGGGAGAAATAGAAAAATTAGATGCACAAAGTTAGGAAAAAAGACACACAAATCAAGGGAAGAAACGAATACATCGAAGAATGAGACACACAAAGCAAGGAAGAAATAGATGTATAAAACAATTAAGAAATAAACATCCAACACAGTACACACTTACAATTGAAAGAAGTAAACAAAGTTCAACAAGAGGAGGGTAAAAAGAAAAACAGACAGGGAAGAGAGGGAAAAGTGTCATTAGTACAGTAAGTGATTATGTACCAGTACTACCTATGTTAACCCCAGTAATAGTACATCATAATCCCCTACTCTACTAAGGCAGATGCTCTAATGCTTATATGCTTAGGGATTCCTTAACGCACTACTGAATGTTTGCACGCAGTTACGATGCACCAACTGACTTCATTCTCCAGGGTGTACATTTTACTTGCCAGGCACTATATTAAGCCTAAGCCCTTTCCATTCACGATTTCATTTGACCTTTTTAAATAGGCAAGTCTTACAGGAGACTAAATTGGCAAAAGTCATACAACTAAAGAGTAGCAAATTTAAACACAGAATGAACATCTTAACATTCTGTCACACGGTTTTCCTAATTTCCGTAAGTGCCAAATGCTACAGGTGGCTGCTGCATATTTTAATTGTCAGCCTCACTTTCCCCATTTCTTTAAGAAAACAGGCTTGGGAAAAAAAAAAAAAAAAAGGGTTTTTTTTTTTTTTTACATCCTTCACAATTATAATGGATGCTTCAGGATCTAGGTTTCTTTTTACACTAAACCTTAACTGTTCAGTTGTCACAGATAGAGCAGAAAACAAAGTCTTTCAGCAGGAAACAAACTATTTAAGGCTTCCCAGTAGGTACACGGCTAAGAATGAATGGCAGAGCACCAATCCAAAGACTAGAGGCTACATTTCTCTGTGATGCAGCTGGGGAGCAGGCTATTGTTGGAGTTGCTGCTGTGAGCCCAGCCGACAGCGTGGAAGCCTGCTCCTCCCCCAGCAGGTATTTAGCCCGACTTCACACCCTGGCATTAGACCACCACCACACTCCACCCAGCACCGCCTTCCTGCAAATGCAAATCCCCAGAGGACTGCAATGCTGGCAACTTACTTCATTCTCTTGGTTTCAGATGCAGGTATGTTGGTCCTTGGGTTATAAAGCTGGCTTCCTTTCATGCGTTCACATTTCGTGATCCTGCTGAAGGCCCAGCTTTCTGGGCTGCTTTGGAAGGATGACGATTTGGTCGATGGAACTACAAAGAACAAAAGAAGCTGGGTGAATGTCAGGAAAGAAGACATAGAGGGTGCTGGTTCTTTAAATTTTGCCTGATAATAGATGCTTCTGGATCATTTTCAGCTAGGTTTCCACTTGTAGTCAGAGCCATCCATCATCATTAATGTTAGCATAAAAAGAGAAACTACTCACTGGATATTCTAGGCCATCGGTAGCACAGTGAATCTTGCAGCATGTAAACAGCTGGTTAAGGTCTACAGCTTCCAGGGTGGCTTTGAGAACCAGGTGACACAGGACAAGCTCGTGTGCCACGGCTTTGGCAGCTTTTCTCCTAGGAGAAAGAACCGTTTGCACAGTTGAGTTACAGTTCTCTAGTACACTGTGCAGTACACGCGCTGTGCAATTCACCCTCCACGCCCACTGTCACAGCCTTACAGCGAGATGCTTCCCTGTTAGTCAGGAAGCTGTTCTTAGCAGATGAGAAATATAACTTGAGTATGGGGCTGGAGAGATGGCTGCGCAGTTAAGAGCACTGGCTGCCTTCCAGGTCCTGAGCTCACTTTCCAGCAAACACACAGTGGCTCACAACCATCTTATATAACAGGATCTGATGCCCTTTTCTGGCATGAAGTGTACATGCAACCAGAGCACTCATGCATTATAAAAAAAATTCCAAAAAATTGAAACATAACGCAAGTCAAAGTCTTAACTACAATGGAAAACAAGATCAAAATTAAAATTATTTTCACACTGAGCGTTAGGATTCAGTTCTCAGCAACTGCATGGTGGCTCACAACCATCTATAATGGGATCTGATGCCCTCTTGTGGCGTGGAAGTGTACATGCAGACAGACCACTCATACAAATAAAAGGCTGATTACAATGGAAAACAAGATCAAAATTAAAATTACTTATTACACTGTTCCAGAAAACTTACCTATCTTGATGTTTGGTGGCTGTCTTTGACTTTTTATCTTCCTTGCGGGGTTCAGCAAAATGTCTCCCCAAAAATCTCCTGGGCTAGGGCTGTTGCCCAGTGCTGGTGAGCTATTCCCCTGGAGGACCCTCATGCCCCATCTCCACCTAGGGGTCGTCAAAGGGAATAGGTCACCAGCACCGCAAAGCAACAAGTCCATCCTTCTGGGGAAAGATCTGGAAAAGAGGTGAAAGAAAAAACAAATTACTGAACTCAAGCCCACTGGGAAATGCGCGTCCTTATGTGGTATCCAGCAGTTGTGGTAACCATATAGACTTTTTGTGGGTGGTAGTATTTGGTTTGGAAGGCAGACCCTCACAGATTTGTAGATCTTTATGCTATGCCTATCAACTTAGTGACATGAGAATTGTCTCATCTGAGCTCTTTATTCTCTATTGTCTACCCATGAGGAATCCTTATAGATTGTGTAAGCACTTGTATATTACAATCAAATACGCTGGGGATGTTTAAGCACTTGTATATTTTATAACCAGATAACGCTGGGGATAAAGGGGCTAAGCAAACTAGAGTTGAAACCAGTGGAAGATTAGGCTATGAAGCCATTTATAATCTGTAAAAATCCTCCATCATGTTGCCTCTGACTTTTTCGAGAATGGTGTATGGGTGTGCGTGTTTTATTTTTAAAGACTTATTTATTCATTATGTATAGTGTTCTGCCTGCATGTATGCCTGCAGACCAGAAGAGGGCATCAGGGCCTTTGGAAGAACAGACAGTGCTTTTAACTGCTGAGCCATCTCTCCAGCCCCCTTGTGTGGGTTTTTAGGATTTATTATGTTTACAGTTCTGCCTGCATGTGTGCCCCCAGGCCAGGAGAGGGCGCCAGATCTCATTACAGCCCCCGTGTGCTTTTTTTTTTAAAGATTTATTATGTATACAGTTCTGCCTGCATATGTGCCCCCAGGCCAGGAGAGGGCGCCAGCTCATTACAGATGGTTATGAGCCACCACATGGTTGCTGGGTGTTGAACTCAGGACCTCTGAAAGAGCAAACTGAGTCGTCTACATTAATCAAAGTGCCTGTTGTCACCTGGTTGTGGGGCATCTCCCTCTTTTAACTGGTGCTTTAAGTAATACCATGCTGGAACACCGCCAAAATGAATAGAACTGTGTTTTGCTCAATCCTTATGGTGCATCTCTAGCACCTGATGCAGCATTGCACCTCCGGGGCTCAAGGATATTCAAAGCAACCAGAATTGTGACAGGTTTACAAAATGTCATTTGTGATAACAGCTATATCTACTCTATCAAATGCTAAAGGCCAGGGTACCCAAAACTAGCCTTCACAAACTGTCATTCCTTTGATGCATTATCTTTTAAGCATTTCAAAGCAAACAGATTCAAATTTGTCTTAGAAAGGTGGGAACCATGTCAAGGCCCAATCACAAGGCAAGGGTCTCATTGGTGACTATGCAATGAGACCTGTATGCTTTATTGATTTGCCTCTCTCATTCTTCTCATGAAATGGAGATCAAATACACTTACTACCCTTTCCACCTCAGTAGAGCCCATATCAGTATAGAGGAAGCAGATCAAATACACAATCTCAGTAGAAAGGAAACAGACCCAATACATGGTAGAAGTTTAAAATGTACGTTTATATGCAAGGAGAAAATAGTGTAGGAATGGCTGGCTCTGCTTTTACAAGAAAAGGCTGCAGAAAGCTAAAGCCTTAAAATCAGACAGAAACCCAAGAATAGAAACTTCTCCCAAGTACCTTTGTCTTCATGTGGCCTGCATGTTGTTTGCTCAGATTAACTAGAGTTTGTCCAGAGTCTCGAAAGGAGAGATCTGCTGGATTTGAATAAGCCTGTATCAGCTGCTGGCAGTCCTTGAAGTCTCCTGCTGGAATTATCCCTGTGAAGAAAGACAAGGCTTATATTAGATTATAAAAACTGTTCAGAAAAACCTAAATGATAAAAGAAAACAGCAAAATATCCAGGAATTGTAACCTGACACATTAGACCCTTAAAAACAGAGATTATGTTTCTCAATCAGCCGAGTTATCAAGTCTACCTCAATACTCACCTTTGGATGCTGTCTAGAATCCATCCTTCCAAAACCAGGTCATCCTTCTTCAGTTGAGGCACAAGACCAACTCCAAATTCATCCCTGGAAAACAAATTCCAATGATAGTTATACCATGATGCCAAAATAGAATTTGATTACAATATTCATATGCACAGACCAGTGTTTCTTGAATTGGGATGGTAAGAACTCGGTTAGAGAATCGTGGCTATGTTCTCATGGATTCCCCAAGTTCTAATACTTGTGAAGAGAAAAACAGCCTTTGAAATTGAAAAACATGTCCACATTTCAAAGACTTTTCATTTCTCTTCCTTTTTTTTAAAAACTTAAGTAACGAAGTTCCCTGATGACTGCACAGATCTTCCCCAGGAGTAAGCCTGTGGACTACGGGCAAGAGACAGGCAGAATGGGCTCATTAGACTCTTGGGAAACTTTGTTCTTTGAAAAGGTGTTTCCTTCTGAAGCATTACTTGTACTTGAATTTGAAAAACAATGGCATGACTTTGTTTCCCAAGGGATTCAATACCTCTGCACTATCCCTAAGTCAGCATTTGGAATGTGGGAAGCTGTGGCGAAGGAATTTATAGAGGAATTAAAATGATACTAGAGATCATTTGCATGCCCAATGGCAAAAGAAAACAAATGCAAAAAGCGTTCTGGGCAAGGATGTTTTTCCAGCTGGACCTTGTTCTGCTTCCAGAAATAAGTATTTGTTTTTTTAACTTAAAAGTACCCTTGAAGAAACCTGCGGGAGTGGCTGGGAGCTGTGGCACACGCCTTTAATCCCAGCGCTCCAGGCAGCGCTCCAGGCAGCGCTTCCTTCCCCCCCCCCCCCAAGCAACTCCGAGGCAGTTCTTTTAGGCAACTGCTCCGCTCCGTAGCTAGGCAGCACTCGTAGCTAGGCCGCACTCCATAGGCAGAAGCAGGCGGATCTCTTTGAGTTTGAAGTCACCTCAGTCTACAGAGCTCCAGGACAACCAAGGCTACACAGACAAACCCTGTCTCAAAAGAAAAAAAAATTAATAAATGAATTAATTTTAGGGGGCTGGAGAGATGGCTCGGAGGTTAGGAGCATCGCCTGCTCTTCCAAAGGTCCTGAGTTCAATTCCCAGCAACCACATGGTGGCTCACAACCATCTGTAATGAGGTCTGGTGCCCTCTTCTGGCCTGCAGGCAGACACACAGACAGAATATTGTACACATAATAAATAAATAAATATTTTTTTAAAAAATGAATTAATTTTAAAAAGAAAAATAGGGGGAAGAAGGCGCACAAACCACAGCATCAGGCTTCTCCATTGCCCTTTGGGTAAAAGGTAAAGATTGTAAATTAAAAGTCACTTTTGATCTGTATGAGCCATTGTTGTCTGTTTGGGGGAAGAAATGTAACAAAAATGGTTGAAAAAGCCAAATTATCAAATTTATATCCCCAATTCCTACACTTAATTCCCAAGCTCAAGCTTCTGGGACTCAGTTACTCGCCCTTGTCATCCCTGGCATACAGCCAAGTATAATGACTGGGTCCTTTACTCTTAATATCTTTATATGCTCCCTAAGAGGCAAAAGCAGATGGCATTCAAATCAACCAAATGGCCTAACCAGATGGCGCAAGTAATCTGGACCAATGGTGCAGTGTAAGCACACTTTTCTTCTTTAAGTAGTCACGACCTTGCAAGCCCAGTAGACTTTCTAAGATACTTAGAATTCACCAGACAATATTTGACCATCATTTGCTAAAGCGATTGCCAGTGTTTATATTACATTAAGTCTTCAACAACACATATGCATCTCGAGAAGAAATTATGTAAAATCGGATTGCTTCTCATTTCAGTGTACCCTGGCATAGGGCTGGATACACAATATTAACTCTGCAATTTCATTGGCATACATATGCATTGTGTTGAAGCTGAGACGAACTTCGTCACTTTGACTTTTCAGTGGGTGGCACGTATGTGAAAGATCAAATGAGAAAGTTTGCCTAGTAGCTGCAAAGTAATACTCACTGTATTCCAAACAGTCAGAGTCTTCTGTAGTCGGCTGAAGGGCTGAAGTTCAACCTGTATCCTGAACTGGGTCGATTTCTTGACATCCTTCTCAGAAAAATAGTATCGTTTTTTTCAGAAACTTTGAAGAACTGTGGCTTCATCAGCAATGTCACATTCAGTACCCAGGAGAGGGCTGGCAAGATGGCTCAGAAGGTGAAGGCACTTGCTGCCAAACCTGACGATCTGAGTTTTAGCTCCAGGACCGACCCACATGATAGAAGCAGTTCCCATTGCTCTCTGGTCACCAATGCGAATGCAGATACTCAAGTGCACATGCAATCGTGCACACACACATACACACACACACTCATTCATGCACAATAATTAAAGAACGAAAACCAGAAAGCTTAAATACTCGGCGCCAATAGAAACAGATATTTTCTTAATAAGCAGATCTCTCTTTGAAATGTATTCTCAAAAAGAATGATTAGATCTTGGCATATATATATTTTAAAATGTAAAGTGGGAAACAGGCTCCATCATTTTATTTAAGTTCCCACTTTAGGGTGGTTTTTTATTTTTCAAACTACTTTAAATCATTGCCAAAATTTAATGGCAGATATAGTGAATTAATCAAATGTGATGGCCTACTCAAAGACAACATGACATGTTCTCTTATTTAATCTGTTCACAGCCACCTTCTTAAAATCAGTAGGGGCTGGTGTTCACTATGTCAGGCCAAATTTAAATATTAAAAAGTTTGGTCATTTTCCTTAAAGATAATGATACTAAAGGCCACACAAAGATTGATTTTTGCTTTTAAACTGGTAGTACAGACCAAACATACATACTGGCCTTAAGCATTCCATTCTACAACTGCTTTGATGGGATTAGAATAACAGTTATAGTAGTTTATCCACAATCTCACCACCCTCAGTAAAATGAGAGACACTGCTTGGTCATCAGATATAGTAGAAACAAGATACTTTTACCTCAGAAAAGCTAATGATCACATAACCAATTCCACCTTGCGAGCCAGATGCCTTTCTTAAGGCATAAACTCTCAATAACTTTTCTGGCAGTTGGCACTGTAAGCAATATACCAAGAGAAACAAGCTGAGTTTGTTAAGCAGGCAGTCAGCTCCTGGAGGAAGGATGTAAAGAGTACCAGCTAATCCTCCTTTGGGAGACAATTTTCAGTTGATACTGTATAAGGAAAGCCCCAAATAAAAGGTGGCAATCCAGCTCCCTGAGCAACTTGCCTGAAATATTTCTTTTGCACAATAAAGCATTAACAAAGGTGGGCAGGAATGATTCCTGGCCCTGGAATATGCCAGCAAATGGAATTGGAGTAATTAAGAAATGCAAGCTAAAGAGCAATGGTTCATCCACCTAGTTTTGGCCCGCTTTTGAAATTTTACATGTATAAACACATCCAAGATGCAGGGAGCTCTTGGACACATGGGCTGAAAAGTGGGACCGTCAATCGGTACTGTGTCCATTAAGGACACACAGGTTGCTTTGGATAATTGACAGAGTAATGCGGTGGAGGTGTTTCTGTTCAATGGGGAGGACCAAGCAGAGGGCAACTGAAACACTGCAGCCATGTGCAGTGGGTAAACTGATGACTTCTGGGATTATTGACTTTAAGTCAAGAGAAGGGCTCAACAAAGAGACAGAAGGGACAGGGTGATGGAACTGGGGAAAGGGTGCAAGGTCTTCAACAATTGGACTGTGAGAATTAGTAGTCCATAAGAGTGGGCCACGGACAAACTAGGGGCCGGACAGAGGGAAGACTGTATAAAGTGTGGGATCGTGGCTATTTGGGGGTTTGCATACTGGAGCAATGCAAAGGGGATGGAAAGATGGGTCATTGTTGGGTGTACAAGGCATAGGCATACTGCAGTATTTTACTTTATTATGCCAATGGGAAACAGAGTAGAAAATAAACCATCAAGAACTGCCATTGTGCCTATTAATAGTTCCCCAATAAGCCGTTGGTCATAGCCACTGTGCTCATTAACAGTCCCAGATGTTTTAGATGAATCAGCAGCCCCTGCAGTAATGCAAAGGGGGTATGAGAACATAGTATTCTAGGCATTCGTAATTGCAAATACGCACACAAATTAATAACTCAGGGGCTCAGTTGATCAGTACTCTTAATGGTATGTAAAGAGAGTACGGAGGTACAACTAATAATCGGCACTCTTGACATTGTTGCACAACAATCATCCAGATGCTGAGGTTATAAGCAGTTATCACTCCTCAGCAGCCCCAGTCAAAAGGTAGGAACTTAGGAACCTTTTTGCGCTACACAGGTCCGTATGTGTAAGCGTACATATTAATATTTGTAAGAGAAGTGCTCAGAAAATAGTTAACGTGCCTCTGATGTCGAAGGAGTACAAGGATGTAAAATCCTACTCCAAAGGTAAGGATGGACAATTGCGTTAATGCACATTGAAGTCCAAATGAAAAGCACAGTGTAAAAACCTCTTTCTGCGTTAAAGCAGAGGAAGAGGGTACAGGGTTTCTGATACAAGTGCTTAGCCACTGTGTGCATGTTAACTTTCCACTTCCTCCTAAAAGCGTTAAGGAGTGAGTGGGATCCTTTTCTAGTGCACAGAGCAGGAGGAAACGCATATATATACATACAACATATAATACATATTAACAGTCCAAAAGAAGGCAGCCTTGGTTGATCAGCATACCCCGCCATACTGCAAATGAAAGGTGAAAGAATATGACTTTGTCTACTGACAAAGGCAAATTTCCACTAGCAGGGACCTTGGGGAAAATAGTATCCCTTGCAATAGTGCAAAAGAGATACAATGGTCCTCAAAGTAATAAGGTCATGGATAAGTGCGATTTTAAGCACATTAACTGGCCAGATATTTTTTATTAAAACGAATGAATCATGCCCCTATTGTGCATATTAATGTTCAAGGGACACAGTGTGGTTAATTAAAACCACATCCTTTCCACAAATATTAAGACCTTAAAGTAATGGACACTTCTGGAAATCAAAGGCAGTGGAAAGGAGAGGAGAGATCCTTACCCAGTGTCCAGGAAGACAGAGAAGCCAAGAGATTAGCGACCCTTGCTGTACTGCCAAAGGGTCTGACAGTAGGGATCTTATTCAAATGGAAGGAGTCATGCGCAGTGGTACTCACGGTACATGGTTGTGGCCATCATAGTTTTACACTTTGACTGTTCAAACATGAGAATCTTTGGCAATGTGCAATCCCTGGTGAAAGGGAAACGCATAAGGGTGGCCAGTGATGTCCTTCTGTAGCGAACAGGAAAGAACAAATGCAATCAGACATTATTAGCAAGCCACAACATGAGACCTTATAGGTCACCACCACTGCTGTACCTCAAAATGAGGCTAAAACTGATCCTTCTGAAATTACTATTATGTGCATTAGCAGGTTGAGAAAGGGGCTTTACATCAACAGCCCATACATAGTTCCATGAAATGAAGGACCATTGACAATACTGGAATCGTTTTTATAGTTTCAAGAAAGAGGCTATAGTGTTAGTGAGCCTCTTTGCTTTGATGCGTACAGGAGTTGTGATCTAAAAGGCAAAACAGTGGACATAATATCTATGAGGCCATTAACGCTGTGCACGTTTACTATATTAAGGATCATAAATACCAGGCACCTCCTGCTGCAATAAAATGAGTTGTTAAGGTTATTATCCAATGCATACTACTACAGCTAAATGAAGTATGCAATTCACAGTCTGTGAGACTGCAGGGCATGGCAGTGTATGCCAGTTATGCCAGCACTTGTGAAATAAAGGCTAGATCCTGAGCTCAAGGCCAGCCTGGGCTATATAGTAAGTTCCTGGTCAGCCTGGAAATTTTAAACAAAACAGATTAAATCTGAGTTCAAAGGTCTTGCTAAATAAAGAAATGACTGAATTTGGTTCTTTATCCAATGCTCAGGAATAAGGACAAGTGCAGCTGTGCACATAAAGACAGGCAGAAGTGGTGACCATGCCCGTCGTTCCAGTAACTGAGACTGAGAAGCGCAAGAATTAAGTGCCAGCCCAGGCTCCGTAAAGAGACTTACTCTCAAACAGCCACAAGGTGGTGCTGTAGCTCCATGGCAGAGTGCTTTACCAGCGTGCGCAAGACTAAGTTTGATCCCCAGCACAGCCAAAAGACCAGAACAAAGGGCCTTATCGGTTGGCACCCCTCTATTGTCACTCATTACAGTGTGAGGGTATGGGGCTTGAGCAACTGCAGTTTTGCACAATTGTATAAGAGGCTTTAGGAAATCAGCACCCTCTTAATATAAAGCTAAGGTTGTACAAGGAAGGACCTTGAGAAAAGGTTCAGTTCCTAATCAGGATTATCCATATAAATGTTCCCATGCAAAGTTTTCGGCTGAAACAGGGGAGCTGATGGGACTAGTATACAGTGTCATGGATAAATGAATTTATGTCCATCATCAACTTAAAAATTATAACCTAGGGTGATAACACCCATGCCAGAATATAGTGGCCCCCCCTTAATAGCCAAGGCCTTGAGAATTGGAAGCGAGCACCTTAACTGTTAACAGACTTGTATTTGCCCCTCTGCTGAATGCAAATGGGGCTGAACCAGCTAGGGTCTAATCAAATGAATAAATTATAGCCAATAAGAATTAGTGCAAAGAGTGCTCAAGACTGTGAGAAAAGGCTACTGAGCACTGCTCAGAAAATTGGGGCTGTGACTACTGCAGCAATGACAGAATGGTTTTTCCTTTCTTAAAGAAAGGAGACTTAGGACTCTTGTTCAATTGATGTTTCTTGATTAACATGAGGGACAAGAGTTCTTTATACCATGGACAAGTAGGACTGTGTGCACTAAGTGAAAATCATGACTCGGGCAGTCAGCATGGAGGGGAAAGAGTCACGATGTCTCTCAGTTTGTCAGGACAGTAATGGGCACCACATTTTTAGCGCTCAGTCAGTGAAGACTGGAATGTCTCTAGGGAGAAAGCGCCTGGGATTAAAGCCTGGGGCTAGGGCTGAAAGAATCTGGGGCTGGGGCTAGGGCTGGGCTTGGGCAGGGCTGGGGTTGGGCTGGGGAAGGGCTGGGGTTGGGGCAGGAGCTGGGGCCTGGGGCCTGGGGCCTGGGGCAGGGGCTGGGGCTGGGGCTGGGGCAGGGGCAGGGGCTAGGGCAGGGGCTGGGGGCAGGGGCAAGGGCAGCAGTGTTTGTTAGGTCTAAGGAGAAACTGGAGGCTAGGTTCGCAAGGAACCATAGAAAGTTGAAATGTGGGCATTAATATCCCAATAGTAAGTCCGACAGAGGACCCAGACCACTCTAACTCAAGCTCCTGCCCGATGAGCCAAGTCATTAGTCATTGTAGCATCAAGGATGGCAACAAAAGCAAAGCCTGGACTAGTGTAGATTTTCAAATACTCCTTTTGATATCCAATCACAGGATTAACTTTACATTAACAATATCTGTGTCATACGACTCTTAAAAGTTTTTAACGGTATTTCAATAGATAGTCTGAAAGAACGTAAATTTAAGTGACTTGAGTATCATCTGCCAAAAAAGTTAATGAATTTAAAAGAAGCCAAAAACACTAAGGACTCCGGAGTGAAAGCATAAGGTAATTAAATTGAATTCTACAAGCAACTAAAGCTCCTAACTACATTTCTATAATCACTCCAGCTTTAGATTCAAGCACTAGGAAACCACACTATCAAACTTTGCTGACATCCAAAACCTTCACATAAATCAAAATTCAACCCCAGCATTAGCCATGGGGTAGGTAGACAATCCTGTGGAAGGAGGTAGAATTTTACCTCTTGGCCAGTGATTTACTTGTAGTTCATTATGACTCCGGCCAGGGTCACCATTAAGCCCACAGCAGGCCTGGAGAACTGCTTGAGACGGCAGTGCTGACTAAATCTGAGGCCAGGGAGTGAGTAGGAGTCTTAGGCCACTGAACCAATACAAAGAAATGCGGTGAGGCTTTGCTTGTACCACCATATAGAGCACTGCAAAAGACCAATTTATACAAATAGGAGAGCAAGCAGATAAATGGTCTTAGTTACTCTCCTCCGAGAGATACTTTAGCCTGACCTCATCACTAATTCTCTTCTTTCGTTTAATAGGTGAGGCTTCAATGTGCAATCCACATCGACCTCAACCTCAGGAACCTCCAGCCTCAAGTCTCTCAGATCGGATCGTCATTCAACGCCTCAAATGTTAGAATTAAAAGCACGTGCCTTCACACCTAGGGGTAGCCACTTAAAACGATGACTAAAGGCAGATATGAGAGGTACCAAGGTAACTCAAGTCCCTGTAGGACAGTTGAGCCTTCACAGTCTACTTCCATCCTCTACACCAAGTAGACGTGCCCATTTTTGACTAGTTAAGTCAAGAGGCAACCAACACTTCCAAAGTAGTACACATTTCTGATTGATTAAGTCAACTGGCAAACTTCCAATTGGGCTTCGAGTGGCACAAGGTAGAACCAACCACTCGCATCTTAATGCACCAAGTACATCTTGGTCAAGGACAAAGCCTGCCGCGCCTGGCTAAGCAAAGCCCGCCAAGACTTAAGCCCGCCAAGACTTAAGCCCGCCAAGAATATATCGAAGAAACCCCTCGAGGGCCAATCACGTGGTACCGCCATCTTAGTCAGCCCAAAGCATGTGCTACATTGTCCCCTAGGCTAACTCGGCCACCAAACTGACCTGTGAAAAACAAAGCCCGCTACCTTATACTGTAGCAAGCGCTTGAGACGCCATCTTTTCTTGTATAACCTAAATGCCCTATTTCCATGCTACATGTTAGAATAAACGTGGGGTTGTCGAGCCTCGGGTAGAGTGGCCGAGACGCCATTTTGTAAACCTTAACAAGCACCCCTTAGATCTGGACAGAGCCCCCCAGCAATATCGAAACATCGATTTCAAGCCCTATCCCGAAGTCCTCTGCTCCTTTCACCTAACACCGCACACGAACACTAGAGCTTGATTTTCTGCTTCCGGTTACCATGAGTCTTAAAAAGCCACAAATCAAGTCCACACCCGCACATATATAAAGCCTTTAGCTGGTGCAGCACACGATTGCCTCTGTCCAGTCCACTGTCCACCTCGACCCCCTAATTCTTGCCATAACTGGCTCATGTCACGCAGCAACTGTAAGATGGCGGACACGGGCTCTCCACGCCCTGAACACCCACTCAGCAGTCATTTTTCTAAGCCAGTTTCACTCACACACCACCAAACGATCAGCAGCAGCAGCAAGAGGAAAGAAAAAAAAAGGTATGGATATTCCAGGTAGTGCAATAACTCACAAAACCAACATATATCCATCCACCAAATGCCCCGATAGGCAAGGAAAAAAAAAATGAAGCAGGTATCCACAGCCCCGATGGGCAAAAACAGAAAAAAAAAATGAAGCGCAGGTATCCAAGGCCCCGATGGGCAAGGAAAAAGACTAAACGCAGGTATCCGAGGTCCCGATGGACCAAGAAATACGTTTTCTTGCAAAAAAGCAGGTATCCATGGCCCCGATGGGCTAAGGAAAAAAAAAAATGAGAGCAGGTATCCACAGCCCAGATGGGCAAGTTTAGAAGAAGAAAAAGAAGAGGAGAAGAAGGGAAAAAACAAAATGAATTAAAAGCAGGTAAGTATCCACAGCCCCACTGGGCATGGAGTGAAGGGACAGGGAAAGAGGACATGCAGTCATTTGTAGCCCCGATGGGCAAAAACAGAGACGGAATAAAAGAAAGGTAAGTCCACAAAAGTCCACAAAACAGAGATGGCAACTAAAATGCCTGACAAGGAAATAGTCATTAAAAATGAAAAATTGTCCAAAAATATTACAAATATCAAAATATGAAAGACATGTCAAGAAAAGCCTACCAGAACATATAAAATCTTCAAAAATATTATGGAATCTTGATATATTTTCTTAAACACACCATAAGGCATGGTGGTAAGGGAACTAAAAATGTTCCCAGAGACCCCGGTAGATGGACAGAGACCACGGAGGAGGCTCACATCCACGGGAAACTGGCAAACATGGCTGCGGCAAGCAGTTGCACGGTTTTAACTGATCGTGACGCCGAAGGCGGAGAGACCAGAAGAGGAGTGGCCAGAAATGCGGAAAGTCTCGAGTTCTTATTGGAGCTTTAGTGCAAACTATATTTTCTGAAAAGAGTAATTAAGATGAAAATTAATTATGGCTATACCAAAACTCAAATGATCGAGAGAACCACCAAATTTGCATATTTCGAGTGATATTGAAGGATTATCCTCTATTTTATAGCTTATAGGAAAGGCACATAAACGTTGTATAATGTACATGAGGTCACACACCATGTATATGCATATTTTCAATATATCGTCTACTTGGACATTCGACCTTGCATAGTCCCTCGTCTTGGAGACTAAAATGCTTTACGGATCAATTGGTGCGCTCAAGGTAAGGAAAGGGAAGAAAAAGGTGCTTCCCAAAATGGTTCCTTGGTTCCTAAATTATCAGGGTATTATTGGTTGTGACCTATTTGTACTGATTACGCGCAGAGTTTTGGTTCTTTATTATTTTTGTACTTTCTGGGAATCTGATAACTTCAAACCTTGAACCAAAAATGCGCTAAAGTTTACTTGCTAGCAGCGGTAGAAAATCATTCCTAATTGAGAAATAGCTCAGTGGTATGGCACTTGCCCTAGAGAAACAGTTAACTTAGAGAACTGTCCAATTTTATTCATTGAAAACCGCGAGACATCCACCTGAAAGAGACACCAGGTGTTAGAACAATCAAAAAATACAATGTCTTGTTATTTCAACTAAACAACTTAAGCCACTCTTATTCTAAGTCGTCTTTAGGCATCAGATGAATAACAAAGTACACAAAATTGCTTTTGCTTAGGGACCTTCCAAGTACCTACAATTCACTAATCTGACCGTCGCAGTGGTTCACATAGGGACAGAAATGAAGAAACGATGTCTTCATTTCTATGA